GTGTCCCACAAGAGTGTCCTACAAGAGTGACCCACAAGAGTGTCCCAGAAGAGTGTCCCACAAGAGCGTCCTACAAGAGTGTCATTTGGACTTATGTAGTTTTTCGAACATGTTTGCATTTGGGTTCGTGGGCTCCATCTTGTTCCATTCATTTTTTGATTGGTTTTGGTTGTTGATCGACCGACCCATTGCATGGTCGGGTGTCCAAGCGCACATGTGCGCAACCGCGACCTGGGCGGGTGCCGAAGAAAACATCACTTCACTAAAGCTTTGTTGGGTCCAATCTTGTGATGTCAGAGGGGAATCTTTGCATTTTTTGGTTCCAACTACACCTTGAAACAACCCTATACAGAAAATGGCACCTGAACATGAAAGCAAAGCCATCTCCCAATATGATTGCAGTTGTTGCTTAAACTTCCTATCTAACCAAAACGAAAAACGCGAAGGTCACCGTCGCCAAAACCCTTTACCTGCCCGCCTAGGTCTGAATGCCACCGATCTGCCGGAGTTTCAAGAGGCCGTTGCCAAGTACAAGGACCCTTTCTGAGCTTCTGGATGACGTTTTCAGACCGGAGAACATGGGTTTCTTTACAGTTCTTAAGCCCTAATTTGGGGTGAGGCGTTCGCTTGTGACGCTCATTTGCTTGGACCCCTGTTTGAGGTGACCTGGGCCTGTAGGAAATATGGTCGGTCATTGGCTGGCACTCCGAGGTCACAAACTGAAGAAGCTGGTATCGTACCAGGACCCTCCTGTCGGGGTGTCCTGGCTGAACTACCCCACACTACCGGCCGTTCGGCTTCCAGACAGGGCACCCCGACAGGAGGGTCTTGGTATGTGTTTTCGGTCTGATCAAAGGTGGCTTTCCTTACGCGGGACCGCCGTTCCGGCGGCGTTGAAGGACCAGGGTTGGTGGACTGGAAGGGAGGAGGATGACGCCATTCCGCCAGGGCTGGTGCGGGATTCGTTATGGGGAGATCCGCCGAAGATGCATCGCATCACGTGTATCATCTTAAAGTACTTCAAACCAACAGAGGTTGAAGAACCCTATAGACTATCCCAGTTGGGTACCCCAGTAAGGTCCTATAAGGTCACTTAACCTCTCTATGAAAGTAAACGATTTACAGTCACTGGAAATTCAGAGATAGCTTCAATGGTGGTGCCACTTCACAGCAATCCGTGTGTTCCTCCTTACTTATCCCGTGACTGGGCTCCAGTCCTCCCCCTGCAAGCCACTCGCTGAGCGTGTGGGATGGTGGATGGTTTCCCTTGGTTGGTCCACGCCGCGGCCGAAGGAAGTGAGGAAGTTGCCGTTGGGTTGGGATGAAGCTTGGTCCGAAGGAGCCTTGCGGTTGTTGGGAGGTGTTGGAAGGTGTTGTTGGAAAGACATCTTAAAGAGAACAACAGATGTCACAACATGTACGTAGATGAACACCATGTGTGTTGGGGAGATTGTTTTCAGTGTTTGGGTTAATTGTCATTGACCTAAGTGCTTTTGTTCTACAGGTCTTTGAATAAGGTTGCTGATTGCAAGGCTTTACCTCACTCTAGGCTTGGAACCTGCAGATGGGTTTCAATCACTTGTGTTCCCTTGTTGTAATGCTTGCAATGATTGCATGAGGGAGGGTATAGATCCCTGTTAAACACATGTAAACACAAGTTTCTTCTGTCTCCAGACCGCTGGCGCCACAGCAACTGCAGCTTCAGAGCTTCAGAGCTTCAGGGCTTAGTGACATGTTTCAAGTCTCATGGTATACCAACATCTCATTGAAGCCCTCCAACATTTGCCTTTGTTGGACTTTGTTGTGTATCTACTGTAAGCATACGATAGGTATTAGCATATATGTTATCAATTGTTTTCATATTATTATAACATGGTTTGGTCAAAACCGTCCCGAAGATGATCACCTTTTGATCCTGGTCGGACCACCCTCACCGCGACATCCCTTCCGTCTTCGCCCGAGCGAGGCCGTGGAGGACATCCGCTTCCGCTTCCGGAGCTCGCGTCCTCCACCCCGCCGCTCACCCGAGCTGAGGTGAGTTTGATGGTCCTCCATCGCGAGGGCGCACGCATGGTCGCCAAGCTGGAGCTGGAGGATCCCAACGTCCGTCCCTTCGAACGCAGCGATCGGTTGAGTGCGGATGGGTTGCAGGTGAAAGAGGTCCAGGATGATCCTGAATCCTAGGTGCTTTTCAAAGCCGGACAGTCCACAGAAATCCACAGAATATGGTATTCATGTGTTTGGATCCGATTCCAAGTATACGTCAGATAATGGAACATGATATGGTATTCATGTATTCATGTGTTTGGATCCGGTATTATACATAAGATAATGAACACTACCCTACAAAAACAGGTACTTGTACCCATTTTCCCAGGTACTTTGAGACTCCAGGTGCCTAGATTGAGGTGGTTTGGGAGAGCAGTGTTTGTGTTTGGTGCTGAGAGAGGTGGTTCGCACTGGGCTAGCTGCCTTTTTGCTTAATGGGAATGGGCGTCATTGAATCTGCTAATAAGTCATAGAACATGACTTGAGGAGAAAGATAAGCACACATGACTCAGGCCGTACCAACTCCGGCAAAATCAAGCCAACAGCCGACAGCCACAAGTGAACTCATGATAGCAATCATACCCAATTCCCATCTTGTAACTCACTGAAGACACATGAAATCAGAGGAACTCCAAGATCATTCAACTGTTCCAAGCTCGGGTGGCCTTGTCTTTTCTGAACTGACCTCGGAACTCCGTTCCGGAAGCTCGAACCCCCGGTCTCCGAGAGGTGCCCGTTTTCAGCGCTTGTTGGACCTCACCCACCGGCGGCCTGGAGCAGGGAGCGGAAACCGCCGGCTTTCTCCGTGGGGAAAGCTGGGAGGAGCGAGGTGACGGTGCAGAGGATCATTTGCTTGAAGAGCTGTGAATCATGTTTCCAGACGCGACCCGAGACTGGTCAGGGGTCTGGGGGGTTCTCACCAATCCCTAGGGTTTTGAGGTACTTAAGAGCTGTGAACGGAGCGTCTGGGTTGGTTGATTTTGAGACCTTCTATTGGTTGAGCTAGAATTGCTAGAATGTTGAATGGCTATTTGCCGAGAGTTGAGGCAAATGTCCATATATATGGAGCACATCCATGTGTGTAGGATGGCGATTGGTGGAATTGAATCAGAAGCACTAATCATAATTTACTATATTTCACAACAAACAAATAGGAAGAAGAGGAACACAAAGAAGCTCAGAATTGTTCAACTTGGGCACCACAAAGAAACCATAAGAAACCCGCTCATCTCATCCACTCTTCGAAGAATCGCATCTCGATCTCAGGAAGGTCTACACCCGCGACCGCATGGGTGAGCCAGTCCCCGAGAGGCCGGTTCTTCAACTGAGCAGCTTCAAAAACCTCTATGATGAAAACTATGCAAACTGTAATATCACATTCTTTCGCGAAAGCCAAAACGCAGGTCGCGAAAGGTTCGCGAAAGCCCCGCGAAAGAACCCCAGAAGAACAGCGTGGCGAAAGCTTTCGCGAAAGTCGAATTTCTTGTGCATGTCGTGTTGTTTATGTGGGTGACCATATCTTTATGCAGGCAGCCGCAGCAGGCCAGCCAGCCAGCCAGCCAGCCGCAGCAGACCAGCCAGCAGCAGCAGCAGCAGCAGCAGCAGCAGCACTGAAGAGCAAGTGTTTCAGGGGAAAATCGAAAAGCCCAGACGAATTTCCGCGAAAGCCTCGCGAAAGAACCGCGAAAGTCGAAAATATTCGGGAAAGGTATCTGGCCCCAGCAAAAAGTTTCAGCAAGTTTTCCTCCTCTTCTCATGACAACAATAATACTTGAACGGTGCTGCTACAACTCCTTGTGCCAGGATGTTGCCGGAAAGAAATTTGTTTAGTTTTGACCACCCTAAGGATAACTTATATAGATCAATCACTTTATTGTACAATATCCCAATCGAATTTCCCAATCGAAAACGAATCGCCGCGAAAGCCGCCGCGAAAGCCCCACATAACACCACACCTTCCGCGAAAGCCAGAATGCAGACCGCGAAAGCTCCGCGAAAGCTCTGCGAAAGCAAACCTGGATTATACAAAAAAGTAATAGGGGTTTTCGAAGCTGCTCAACTGGGAACCCCAAGACACTACCTGGACCCGACTGACCCTGTACCTTAGAAAATGGGACATGACCCCCCAAAAAAAACAGGTACTTGTACCCATTTTCCGAGGTACTTTGAGACTCCAGGTACATGTCATTGATGTTGTATCCCATTTTCGCTCCAAAAGATACCTTCTCAGAAGGTACTTCGCGCCTCCAAAGCTATGCCAAACACTGGAAAAGCACTTTCTTGTGGTGGAGGCATGTAGAGGCTGAAGTTCCCCAGAACCGGGCTACAACAGCCTTCGGAGCAGTGCAAACGTTTACAAAATGCGAAGTCTACGCAAGTGACCTTTAATTAATCCTTCGGCCGCCTGAGATGTTCCACTCTGACAGGTTGCAACTCCTCACCGTGTCCTCTGTGACCAACGACGAGTCTTGGGCACAGTACGTGGCACGGCGTGAGGCGCAGCGCGCGCGTGCCGTGTGGTTTTGGTGTGGCGCAACCGGATGTGAGAAGAAGTTTAGCCAGTGTGCTGACCAGTGTAACTAGTCCATACCAAGCTGACAGTTCTGGCCACCCATTTGGTATCCCTAGAGGTCCAAAGATCCAGCTCCAAGCTGGTCCTTTACATCGTTGAGGAGTGTTTGTTCCTTTAATCACCAACTCCAGTAAAATGAGGTAGTTGACCTCTAGGGTATGAAGCTTTTGCATGCTTTTGCCAGGCCAGAGGTATTCGTTTGCCATTGCCCCATGTCCGATGGCCACCCAGAGCCCAACCACATCCATTGTTTTTGCCAGGCCGTCCGTCGGGAGATCGACTCTGACAAAACGGACTGGTGCAGCTATGATGTGTCATGGCGATGAATTCAGCAACCCCATCCAGGAGTCACAGAGCTCGGGGTGGTGTTTGGTCCCCAAGTGAGTGGATCATGGGCACCCCTAACCTCCATTAAGCACCCATTTGTGACTGCTGGATGAACAAATTTAATCGAGTTTTCCAACCTGGTATGATGTACTAACAGCAGTCTTGCTGTTCATGTCCCATTCCTGAGTTCCTGCCAAAAAGCAGGGGTCGATACTGGTCACCCTTCAGGAAAGAGAATGGTGGCGGAGGGTTCTCCGTGGTGGTGGAGTTGGAAGATTACGCTAGAGATTGTGGGAAAGAGGACGGCATCATAAACCTACTTGCGGGCAAAACATGCGAAAGGCGTTAAGTGTTTAATGCATTTAGACAGCTGGACATGACCCTCGCATACCCGACCCACGCATACCCACAGCGTTCTGTGCCCATCCGTGCCGGCAGAGGTTGACACCGTTGCGCGATCGTCAGGCTGGCCGGGAAGCGTCAAGGTTCTTCCTGCAGCAGGTCCCGTTTCCCTACATCTCCAGTCGTACCTCCTCAGGTTCGGTATGACTGGACCCTCCTGGCACCCACCGAACCTCAGGTTCGGTATGACTGGAGGCCTAGGGTTGCGGGATCCAGTTCAAGACTCCGGGATCGTCCAGTCCAGTCGACCCAGGGTCCTGAAAACCTCTCCAGGTTCGTGGTTGTGATTTTTGGTATGACCCACTCCAAGATTTCATGAGGTCTCCTGACTTGGAGGGAGTTCCTGGGGTTTTGCAAGAAGGTGCTTGGGAATATGACCCGAAACGTCACGCTGAGTCACGCAACTGACGAGTGACTGAGCGCCCGCTGTCTTGGCTCTGTCGCTCGGTCTTGGCGAGTTTTCTGTGTTTTCGGTGTTTTCAATCAACGATCAACGAGAACACTCGCCGAATCAACGGTCGTGTCGTGGTCCATTTGCGATGATGAGGGTCTTCCTGTCCGTCTTCTTCCGTCTAAGCTGCACACGTCGGTTCACGACCGAACGATGCACAGTCGACAGATGTTCCATGAGGAGGTACACCGTTGGCGTCCGTTTGTGGGGTTCTGCAGGGCCCGAGGTCTCTTCTTTCGGAGTGAGCTGAAGCTACCGTAGAGCTGAGATGAACATCTTAAGTGATCTCAGAGATACAATGCTAGAATTTAATACAGCGGCCACGGAAGCTGTGAAATCTCCATGGCAGCCGAATCAATCAGAAATTCACCAAGATGTCTTGTACCGTACCCATTGGACCCGACCACTTTAGCGTCCAAGGACCCTGCCAAACTAGCAGGGGTTCTTGATTCTTATAGGGAAGATTTGTTATATCCACCATAAAAGTTGTGCGAGGCAACATCCACCTCCACTCTTCACAGACAGTTTATCTCTTTAGTTTTTTGCCCGGCGCATGACTTTTCACCTGACTTTTCACATCAAGAGTCCGTGTGACGTCTTGGCAAATCCATCCCATTGTCCGCTCCTTTTTCTATCCCTTTCCACCACCCAAAACGGACCACAGACAGACCATTGGTCTTCACTCAAAACGGACCCGCACGTAGTGCCGCATGTGCTCCTTCCACCACCCCGCTGTGCGGCGCGCACAGCGGCTGAAAGGCGACGAGGCGCTGGATGCCTTGGGCGAAAGCGCCGAAAGCATCGCCTTTGCCATGGCGGACGCTTGGGAGCGGTCAGCGCGTGGACGGCGCTGTGGTAGTGGTAGCTCCGCGCGTGGCGCCGGTGGGTGGGGGTGGCGATTCTTTGAGGGGGGAAGACCGGGGACTGCGGGCGTTTTTTGGGTTTAGGAAAAAGCCAAGAGAGATGAGGCAGTCATTACATGTCATGTCGCTATGAGTATGGGTCACGAAGAGACATGGATTCTGGTGGTGTTCCTTCTAAAATCGAATTGTATGTAACATGTTTTGTGCAGTCGAAGAATGAAAACGGATCATTTCCCTTGTTCCACAGCAGCGTGCGGAATCGGGACTAACGTCAAGTAGGATCATCTCAGATGACACTAGTACTGGGCCATGGCACCGCCGAACCCGAAGAAGATGAACGGATCAAGTGCTCTGAGCCCGAGGCTTTTGCGGAGGTTAACAGAGTACCTTGTGGCGATCCACATGCCTTCTCAGGTTCGGTACGACTGGACCCGACTGGCTGGCACCTAAAGAGAGTATCCAATCACCTCAGAAGGAATGTGGATCCATAGGGCTCTGTGGCAATGGTTTTCCAGTCGGTTCAGAAGAGCATGACAGAAATATTAGATTCACAGTTCATCGTGCAACACTTTGTTGGAATTGAACATGTTCCAGAGGCCAGGGGAGGCTAAATTGAAGCCGCACATGCCCCGGCCAAACCAACTCTTTTTCCGGTTTGTGCGACCACTGGTTCTTTGATCTTCTGTTCCGGAAAGCGCAGATTGAACCTGAAAGGATTCCAGATCCACTGCTTGGGTACAAGGGTTTTTGACATGAATAAGGCTTTAGTGACCTTCCGGGAAGCGCCGAGGATGATTTTGCCACGCCTTTGATGCCGCTTGCAGCAAAAATTGCTGGGTGTGGGGTAGCAAGGAGATGAGGGGAGATCGTTTTCTATGTCAAGACGTGTCCAGACCACGTAATTATTTGAGGCCTGGTAGGTGAAGCACAACTATAAGCCGTGCTTGTTGTGTTTCCAGGAAGTTCTAAAGCTGTCCACCATTCTGTGTCAGGCTTTAGAGCCGTTGAATTGTTGCAGCGATTGAACCCTTCAGGGATGTCCATCATAGCTGTTGCTCAGGTCTAGTCTAGTGTATAAGCTTCATTTTTCCTGCCAAAGGCCCAAGAGCGAGCACCATGAAGGAAACGGGTGGTTTTTTGTCCATCCCAAACATTCTAAACTTGGGTGGTACTCGTACAAAGGCATGTTTGTCATGCCATAATTAGTTATGTCATGTTATGTTGGGGTCATTATGCATTCCTTTCATGGTAATGATGATGGAACAATGGGTTCACATCATATAGTTTGGTTTCTATGGTCATATTCGTTCCTTGAGTAAAGCCAGGTTCGCATTTCTGTGCCAAATGAAGTGGATGTATTTATTCTTTGCCTGAGAGGCCACTCAGCTGATCTCAGCTCCGCAAAGTTCTGCAAAGCTTTGCTAGGCAAAGCGAAGAGACTTTGTGAATTGATCGACTCGGCTTTTTGAATGCTTGGACCACACAGAAAAACACAAAAAACATCAACACCTCAACAATTCAACCCTCTACTTGTAGACATGGATTTCACCTGACACCTGGAGCGACGAACACCACCGAGGGGCGAGGTGAATGAGGTCTTCCTCTTCCACGGCACCACCGAGAGCGCCGCGGAGAAGATCAAGACCCACGACTTCAGGACGTCCTGCCCTTCCCGTCGAACCGCACCGGTGTCACCGGCGCGCGCGAAGCGCAGGAAGCGAGTGGACCGGTGAGTTGGTTTCGCCACGCGCGAGAGAGAAGTCAGTGGGAGTTGAAGTTGGGTAGTGAAGGCGTGTGGAGGCGTGTGGGAGGCAACGTTTGGGGGGACTGTCCACATGAGCGGAGATTAGGATCAGAAGACATATCTCAAACCATCCACAGGACTGGAAGAGTTATACCTACACGGATGGGTCATGTGAACATGGGGTAAATCTATCATCCCTTCAAGTCCAGTCTGACCCAGTAAATCCTGGTCTTCTGCATTTTTAAGTAATGTTTTGTATGACCACGTACAGTCAAATGAGCTCATTGACCTGTAGGGTATATGTAACTCTTCCAGTTCCATTCGTTGGGTTTGAGTTCTGACTACCAGACCTTCGGCTCGGCTCTCGGCTCTCGCCCCGCGCAATGCTGCGACAGGATCAACCTGGCGGGCTCCAATGCTGGCACCTTGTATGGCCGAGGCATCTACCTGGCTGAGAACGCCACGAAGAGTACCTTGGGCCGTACCGTTGGAGTGGGCCGTTTGATTGGGATTCTTCCGAGTCACATGGAGTTTTGGGTCGGACGAATCGTCCGTGAGTCAGTGGATGTGATGTGGTCGGGGCACCCAACTCCTTCCTCCCGACTCGTGAGAGAACGGCACGTCCAGCTTCAAACGTCCAGGTTCGGCGTGCCAGGTTCGGGTCATGAGAGCAACCCATCCAGGATTTGATCCCGTTCCGAACTGCGATTCCTCCAGGCATCATAAGTATGCATAAGTCAGCCTTAGTCGGACTTAGATGAACAGATGGTCTTCTACATTACACTCCCTGGAATCAGCCAAATCACTTAGATGAACCAATTTGGCTCCAAAAGGATGATGGTAGGTCACCATGTGCGTTGGAGAGTAAGAGACCAAGGGTCCTTTTCAGCCGACCAAGTTGTAGAGTTCACCGAAAGTGACGGGACTGGTGATATTAATCCTCAGGTGCGTGAAAAAAAAACGCTTTCCTGAAAAAACACATAGTGAAACGTGTGAAGACCTTTATGTTTCAATATGTTTCATGGTTTTGAGGGCCACTGAGATAGAGTACTTGTCATATATCTTATAATGGGGTCGTATACCCATCTCAGCTGGTGGTTCAACAATCTTGTGCAGAGACTCCGGGATCAAGCCGTGCCGGTCGATCGGGTTTTGAGCAGATTGACACCACCACCATGACATCGTTGCTACGAGGAAGACCCTAGGGGTCGGGTCCACTACCTCAGGTTCGGTGGGCACAGATCCGCCCTGGCACCGTTTAAAACCCCGATCGAACCGAAAGGGAGTCCAGGGAGGTAGCAGTGGGTTGGGAGCCCAAACGACTGGGACAATACGCCAAGAAAGCTGCAGGTGATGAATACACGCATCCCGGGCCGAATGGTGTGCGACACCTGCTGCTTTGCCGTGTCACGCTGGGGCGCGTGTTTTACAGCAACACCAAGGACGGGACTCGGGACGGTCCTGTGTTGCACCTGGTTTTCAAGTTGAGGGTGCAGGGAGTGACTGGTGTGACAGCAGGGAGGTGCAGGAGGTGCATGTAGAATTGGAAGATTTGGATGTCTGTCAGGAAATGGTGCCGAAATGTGCTGGTGGAATTTCCGTGTTGGTGGAAACACCGATCAGGAACAACAAACGATGCACGTAGCCGCCGTCTTGGTACTACGATGTACTGTGGATCACCTGCGTTTGACCTGGGTCAGACTCCTGCATGGGACAGACTGGACGTACCTGGACCATCCAAGGGGTGCCCAATGGAAGCCTATAGGTAGTGTGGGGTAGTCCAGCCAGGACACCCCGACAGGATGGTCCTGATAGGGTATGAATTGGTTTCTTGAAACAGGTTAACCTCGTTCCAGGGCCAGTGAGATCCAGTCTCACATTCTGGTTGCTGGAGGAGACGGAACCACGAAAATGTGAAGATGCCTGCTTGAAGGGCAGCTTGTCAGGAATTGGGATTCGGGGACTCGGGGATGGTATTGACTGTATGGTAAAGAAGGGGGTGACTGCTGACAATCAAAGGACCCCTGCACACATCTGCAGGCATGTTTTGATAGAAATCTTGGCTTGTGTGCTAGTAGGCATTTATGCCCTTGTCTCTTGCCGCGACGACAGAGCAAGCTGCAGAGCACCGAAAACGGGCGATACGTGCATGGAGTCTTCTTTCTTTTTGGATGGCAGCAAACATCAACTAAGAGATTCAGATCAAATGTAACAACCATGAGACTCTGCCATGAGGCACGTATCTTCAAAGTCTGGGGGGGCTGGTCCAGTCTTCCCAAGAATGCAAACATACCATGAAATGGTGGTCCAAATACATGTCGGCCATGGGTGAGCTCATCTCAACCTTCTCAAACACCCCATGTCCTGCCCGACACGTCCTCCCTCACCATCCCACCACGGTGCGGTTTCGCGCGGACCCGGTTTCGCGCGGGAACCGGTCGAAGTACGGGCGAAGCTCTGAGTTGACGGTGCCCGCTTTGCCTTCCGCTTCGCCCTGGCGCCCTGGCGCGCTGAGGCAAATTCCATTCCATCTTAGGGGACCGGAAAGCTTGCCGAGGCGCCCGGTGACCGGAAAGCTTGCGTGTTTTGGGGGGGGACGGTCGTTGGAGGGTCGAGCATCGACGGAAGAAGGGCGTGCAGGTCCTCTCTTTGACATTGGATCGAACCGAATTTGAGGCTTATCCAGTTCTGGTTGCTCAACGAACAGATGCGAAGGGTCAAGACGACTTCATTCGTGGTTTTAGGTCAGGTTCACCTCCGTATCCATTTCCTCCAAAGTTTCAGTCTTTAGGGGTGGTTGGATCTGGGCACCCCGCAACTCCTCCAAGTTCAGCACCCAACTTCATGAAACTCTTCAGCATTCTTGTTCCATGTTCAGCTTGATATGCTTAATAACTATAGGACATATAAGGCGTGTCTTTGACCAGCATCCTGGTTGCCCTGTGTCTTTGACCCGGCGGCACGATGCAAGATGAGCAGGTCAGGGACGCTAGGAACCCATCGTGAGTGACTCCAATTGGACCATCCATCCGCTAAGACCTGCCAGATCCAATCCAGCTAGATCTCAGACCTACCAAGCTGCTAAGTGGACCTGTCAGATCTCTGACCTACTCAGATCTTTCTCATCCGACCCAAATCGCTCTGGATCGCCCTGGTTTAGTTCGTTGCTTGACCACCGCGGTCCTCGTCGGTTTGCCACCTCCTAGTCGTTGATGTCCTAGGCACCTTCCGCGAATTCGTGGTCTTTGATGAGGAACAGATTTACACCAACTACATTCTGACTCCTGGCGAGATCTATAGACTGCCGGATGAGATCAGAGGTCGGATTTGGAGCTGAGCTTTGTTGCCTCATCTATCCAGTTTTTTTTTTTTTTTGGTTTTCCAGGACCCCCGTCCCCACCAGCATGGGGTGTTGATGAACATGGTTTTGATATATTTAAAGGTGCCCCGAGACCATCGATGAAGCATATGTTTGTTGCGAGGGTTGATGTGTTTGTTGTTGAATTCACCCATCCCAGACACTGAGTGTATGGAGCTAGTATGGACATTGTTGCCCGCGTTTATGGCCCAAACTATAGGTAACTATTCCAATCCCATGGATGGTTTGGGTATGAATACGAATTCTGTTGTGAGAGTTGACCCCACACTCAAGCCATCCGCTACAAGATTGATAGAACAAGTCAGCCTATGGGATTTGAACAGAAGGCCTGAATGTCCTCCTGAAGCTTGTAGAGGAAGAGGAAACTGTCCAGGACTTTGTGCAAATAGAGAATCAGGTGCAGATGCTGAATTGAATCAACATTTCATAGCCTCATACTGAGATGCCGTAATACTCTTTACATCATACTAACCGTCGATGTAGATTCTGAAAACCTCCTGACCAAGATCCAGTGGCTTGCTTCATAGTGCCAAACAGTCGCAAGTCTCAGGAGCATAGGGCTGTGAGTAGGTCATAGCTACGAGGCTAGAAGTGTGATATATACTGTAGCTTATCTCTACGACCTGTTGTTTCAAAGGTGGTCAAACTTGATGTCTCTGGTATGTGTCCCAATGAGCTTAAGATGCATTTGCTGCATATATGTGTCCTGTTCCTTCCCATGCCTCGCATTTCTGTATGTATTCCTGCACCAGGTGAAAATGGATTGCATCCAACTACTATTACACATATCATAAATATTTCCAGGGTTTGGTTTGCCAAAATTCCTAGGAATTCCTAGGACCAACCATCACTCTTCCATCCAACTTCCAACACCGGGCCAATTCTCCCGTCTCCCCAAGGACCTACCGCCGTCAGTAGCGACCCTGCGCGACCTGCGTGGTGCTCGAGCTCGGAGAGCGCCGATCTGAGCTGCGGCACGAGCTCCCATTCGGCTAATAGCGAAATGACCTAATAGCAAACCCTATTAGACTTTCTTCGTGTCTAGCAGCCATGGCCTCCAACCTAAGACGTAGGACCCATCAGATGTGCAACAGGATGTGCTACCTTCGAACCGAATGTACGACTAGAACCTGAAAAGACATCTCCAAACCTACAGTGTCCAACACGGATGTCAGATGGAAGATTATTCCCAGACGCTCTGTGAGAACAGCCCGTCCTGTCCCTGGTGAGAACCTCCAGACCCCTCTAGAAAGCAGAGCCCTTGGGTTGGAAGAATGCCTAAACACCAACAGGACAAGCACCTAAACACTGCAGATACCATGCAACATACCACGGGTGTCTAGCTCCCATAGTGGGACCAAGACATGGCAATACATCAGGTGGTAGGTTTTCGTAGGGATCCACTGCCACCTTCGAAACGAAGGGTACGACGCCCCACCCGACCCTGGCACTTATGTAGTTTGTGTCTCCAACACATCACCCTTTTGAGAGGGTGGCTTTGGATCCTTAAGGGGGTGATGCCTTGGGGGTGTCCCAGTAAACCAGTCACAGTCAGTGTCCTTGGGGATGTTGGCCTGCAACCTAACCATCATCATCCGCTGTTACAGGAATAGGATATATCATGATATAGCTAAGTGATTGCCTTTGATTGACGTAATCATGGCGCTCTACTGATAAAGTTCCACCACCATTTGAGATAGGGAGGCTCGCATCACTCACAAAATGATTCAGGGCGTCTTCTACAGTATGTTTGCGTTTACAGGTGGTTCGGTGCTCTTGTCCCATGCAGAAGGTCAGTTGAAACCAAACATGTGCCAAAGAGATTTGTAGCCTCATTTCATTTAATGAAACCAGGCTGATCGGAAGAGCATTTGACTGGATCCTCGGCCTGTATGGAAATTGATATTCTTGACATATGCAAAAAGGATAAGGCTATATAAGGATGCCGTTTGTTTCAGGTCACTATCCCGCTTTCTAAATATATATATATATATTTTGGAATGTCCCCGTAGCATGTGCCATCAATCACCCTGATAAAAGATATTTTCATTACGTAAGCTAGTCTCTTCAGCTGACTTTTCAGCATACCTTCAGTTTGCGAGCTAGTCCGCCAGGCTGTATTTGTTTTGTCTAAACGCTGCTTTTGTCAGAACCCTTTCAATGAAGCAGCTCAGCCTGAGATCGAGAAAGTTAGTTAAGAGGTTCTTTGAAAGACCTCGTACTTGGACACCGTTGATCCATCTGAAACAGCCCGGAACCGAGAAAAATCAGCACCGTTGAGGCATATATATATATATATTGGGACGTTCTATCTGTAGCCTGAAAAATCCTGGACTGGTCCTTTGGGTCATGAGATGGTCATGTTTGAAGTCATGTTTAACACCAGAATTCCATTATAATTGCATTTCTTGGGCTTGGTTGACATCATGTTTGCTTAGGCCCAGGCTTAATGAAAACACACACACACATAATTTTAGAAGCATGCTTCTGGTGAAAAGCATTTCCAGTTGTTTTTTTTGCCTGTGGAGGAATGGCTTCTCAGAAGTTGTCCAGTTCACAGAGAGACCATCAGAACAGTAGGTTTGGGGACTTGGGGATATCCAATGGAAGCCCACAAGTAGTCAAAGGTAGTTCAAGTGTGATGGCTCCTTACTTCTACGGATGCTCGTAACAAGAGGATCGCACAAAAAAAACATGGGTGTCAGATTGAATCTTCCGTCGATTCATCGCATGGTGCTTTGATGTGGCAAAAACCTTCAGATGGATTGACGACCATCGCTTCATCCACCCAGAATCGGTGGTGGAACCCCAAAAAAGCAGGCGCTTCGGAGCCCAGACGCTCCGTCCGTTGATTCACAGCCCGTACCCGGTCCCTCTGGTCACTGCATTGGTTCGTCCCGACCGACCAGACCCATGACTCGAGGAGGGTCGGGTCGTCGAGTCGCCAGACCCCCTCGGATCTCGGGGGTCGACCGGGTCGCGGCTTGGGTAGAACCTCGACTGATCGGTCGACGAGGTCGCGAGCTCTCGCGGGACCTTGTCGAGAGGAGAGAGGAGAGTTGTGAAGATCCGAGCTGACTCATGCTCCAGCTACGTAGTCATGGTTCACCACTTCTAAGGGGGTCAAGTGAGTCCATAGGGTCGGACCGTCAGGGGTCCAGT